ATTACTTTGGATTTTGAGGAGGAACTCGGCGAGTTGGAGCCAAGACTCGCCGAGTAGGGTCGCGGATGTTCATCCGGGTTCACGTCCGGACTCGGCGAGTCCACGCTGTTTAATGAAACCCTAATCCCCCGGGTTTGGAGCCTATTTAAGGGCACTTATAGCCTCCCATTGCGGCTACCAGTCCCTTGAGAGAACCCTAAGTGAGCCAAATCGTTGTGAGGGAGAAGAAGTCACTTTTTGATCCTTGAACCCTTGGTTTAGCAAGAAGAAGGTGACAAGAGCAAAAAGGAGGTGCGATTCAAGCAGTTCCAGAGTTCAGAGACATCATTTTGAGGTAATGGTTCGAACCTCCTTCAGTTTTGGTGTTGATCATTAGATTTAGGGTTTTCTAACCCCTTTGGAGAGTGATTATGTGGAGCAAATGGTCCCTCTTCGAGTTTGTGCCTTGGATCTGGACTCAAAGAGGTCCAGAGACCTTGACCCTTGGAGCTTTATGGACTAGTTTGGGGTTATTGGCCTTAGGTTGCCATTTTTGGGACTAAATCTCCTTTTGATGCCTTGTTGTGGTTATACAAGCATCAAGTTTCGAACTTTACGGGACATTCATGCTTGGGGAGGCCATATCTATGGTTTGGGGAAACAGATCTGACCTCAGGAGGTCAGTAGAGTTTGTGCATGGCATGAACTCGCCGAGCTGTTCTTGAGACTCGGCGAGTAGGGTTAGGGTTTCACGTAAATTGCTCAGTGAATGGACTTGCCGAGTTGGGGGATGACTCAGTGAGTCAGGAGGGGGTTAGAGGACTGGAGTTCAAGGCGGTACTCCCTGAGTTGTTCTTGAGACTCGGCGAGTTGAGTCGGGATGGCCCCGTGATTCCTGTCTGGTATGACTCGTCGAGCATAGGGAGGGACTCTACGTACCAAGCGGGACAAAGAGTTAGTGGACATGTGTGTACTCGCCGAGTCACTAGAGTGCACTCGGCGAGTTGGGTCAAAGTTTGACTGTTGACTTTTGTTGACCTTTACGGGTTTGGTCAGCAATGTGGCCTTTGGGCCAAGAAGGGGGTAAAATGGTCTTTTACCCTTAAGAGGGTGCTAAGAGAGGATTGAGTCTAGTCTCGAGAGTTATGTTCAAGAGAGCATTTGCCTTATGTGATAGATGGTGGCGAGTTCGAGATGCAAGCGTGAGGATATCTGCTTCCTGCTTGCCAGGTGAGTCTTCTCACTATACTTTACCTTGAGTAGGTAACCAGAGTTATGTGACAGAGTATTTGTATGCTATGTATGTTATGTGTTGTACTGCATTATTTCTATGTGATTTATGTTGTGCATGTTTACAGAGTTAGAACCGGAAGGTTCCCAGAGTTAGAACCGGAGGGTTCACAGAGTTAGAACCGGAAGGTTCACAGAGTAGGGTCCACGGACCCACAGAGTTATAGCCTCGAGTGGCTAATATGTGTTATGTGTGGTATTTTGGGGAACTCACTAAGCTTCGTGCTTACAGTGTTTTGTGTTATGTGTTTCAGGTTTCTCTCAGGATCACGGGATGGCACCGGCTTGATTGTACACACCAGAGAAAGAGTCATGTTTAGAGGATCCTGGTTTATTATGCAAGTGAAAATGGAGTTATGTTTTGTAATTCAATTATGAATGAGATTTTAAGGAAAGTGTTTTTAAGAATTAAATCATTATATTTAAATGAAAAATTGTTTTCAAATTTACGGTGTTACAATTATAACAAGTTGTCATTGAGTATACCTAGTAGTGAGTTGATACATGTTCTAAGGAACTTGTTATGTGATGACTAGGTGTTACCATGTGACGAACTAATAGGCAACAAATGATGGAAGCTCAAATTGGAATTAGTTTGTCTGCAGACCAGGTGAGTAACACTACTCTAATATCCATTGAAGTGTTATCTATGGTAGACATTACATGAGCTATATGATTAATTATTGTTGAGTAATTGAATGACATTTGAGAGATTGATTATTCTAAGAAATTAATATTTGATTGAATGATTGATTTTAATTGAGAGATGAATTACTAATTAAAAGATAGAAAGAGATTGTTCATTATTGATAGATTGATTATGATTGAGTGGGATAGATCTGGATAAGGAGAGTGAGTCCTTCCCATATCGAGAAATAGATATTGAGAGGGAGAGAGAGAAAGAGAGTGTGTGTGTGATTATTATTAAGAGAGATAAATTATGATAAAGAAAGATCTTGATAAAGAGACTGATCATGATTGAGATAGATTTTGATTCATAGATTAATCATGAAGGAGAGTTTGAGAGATTTATAATGATAGAGACAGAGAAAGAGAAATTATTACTAAGATAAATCTCAGACACACAGATCATTGTTGAATAATAGACCATTAGAAAAGAAACAAATTATTACTAGAGTTGATAAAAGAATATGAGAATAACATTAGTTGTCGTAATTTATTTGTTACACATTAGTGATGATTACTTGATTACGATATATGTATGTGGTTTATATGATTATATTAATGTATCTCTTATTTAATAAGTCGTGATGCTTATGTTGCTATAATAATTTATTTTGTAGGTTTGCATTTGCGACGCCCGACTCGATCCTGTACTTGTGGCCAATACGATTCTTGTGATAACTACTTGTATTCGAAAGTACTAAAGTACACTAAAATTGTTGTAAATTTAGAAATGACAAATTAAATTTTTAAGATGTACTTGGTATGAAATCCTGGTCGTTACAATACTCTCGGGCAAAGGAAGTATTAATAACGATAAGACAGGGCTGCTCGGCCAACTGATGGAAATGTTTCCCGATAAAAGAACTATAAAGATCCACCGAAGAGGGATGTCACAGGTACTACATTCTACGAATTATCATGAAAGATATACTCAATCAATATATAACTTAACCATCAAAGCGTTCTTCGAAAACTCCTTCCTAATGGACATCTGACTGTTATGTTGTGTCTCAGATCCGAAACTTCAGACTACTTGGGAATCTTGAAGACTAAGCTCAAAATAACTATTAAGGCTAGAAAATTTGAGATTTATTAGTCGAATTAGAATTTTGCTTTATCTTTACAAACTATGCTTTCACTCCAACCATTTTCTCATAAATATTCCAAAACTCATACTCTTTTCATGTCCATTATCCACTTTTGTTTGTCTCAAATGACTCATACCTTATCATTCATTTGTTGCATAAGTCCTTTAGATTCCACTTTCAATTATTCGTACTTTGCTTTTTTGAATTCCACCATCTTCCTTATATATTCAGAGATGCCCCGACCCATTAATTCAATTAATTACAATGTTATTAGGCGAACACAATAAACTTTCAAAAGAAATATTTTTATTATTAGAATCAAATTTACGACAATGCATTTACATTTTAGTTAGTCCAGGATGTACTCTGGAATTTGAAATGTTTATCCAAAGTATTCTTGTTCTACAAAAAACTAATTTATAAAAATTTAGAAACAATAAGTTGTTTTTGTTAGACTTGTTTTGATGGAAATAGACATAAACTAACTTATTTTTTTAAGGTTGTTTATATTGTTATGTTTGACAAGCCAAAAAATAGTTTATAAAACCAATTTAAAAAAAACTATTTAGACTAACTTTTAAGTTGTGATGTTAATCGAACCAAAAAGTAGTTTATAAGCCAACTTTTTAAAAGAAACTATTTAAACAATCTTTTCATATTTTTAAAATTTTTTCCTTTCAAATATACCTTTATTTAATTATCAAAAACATATTTTTCTTAAATATTTTTTCATATCGTTTTATATTTTTCGGTTAGTTATCGACTAGTTTTATCGATCAATCATTTTGTATTGGAAAATAGACTTATTAAGTTAATTAACTTTTAAGTTTGCTCACATCTGGGTAACTATTTTTTTTTTTTTTGTACACATTTAGGTAAATAACTTTTTGAAAATGTTCATATATGACTATTATGACCGGTTGTAGCACGTTACATCCGGTCATAACCGATAATAATGGTCATATATGAACACTTCCAAAAAATTCGTTACCTAGATGCATACAAAAAAAGATAGTTATCCAAATGTAAACAAATCGAAAAGTCAAGAGTAAATTACACGAATGATCCCTGTGATTTTAGTAATTTGTACGTTTGGTATCTAACTTATTTTTTTTTTACTCGGATGATCATTACTGTTTATTTTTGTTGTGCGTTTGGTCCCTATCTTACCTCAAAAAACTATTGTGTCATTTTTAATTAATTTCTTATTTATGCATTTTTTTTATATATTAAAAAACATTTAATAGACCTCAGATATCTGTATCTCTTCACCTATAACCCACTGTCTCTTCATTGGATTTTCCGCCACCACAACCCAACATAAGGGTTGTGGTGTTGGTTTGCCGAAGTTGAAGGACCGAAAAAAGAATGGATGATGAAGACGTAAATATTACTAAAAGATGGAAAGGAAATAGAAGTTGAGAAGGATGAGAGATGAGATGATGACTGGTTGAACCCAACTTAAATATGATTTCAGGTTTAGGGTGAGAAAATACAGATATGTGAGGTCTATTAATTTTTTTAAACATATAAAAAAAAAATAAATAAATAAATTAAAAAATAAATTAAAATGACACAATAGTCTTTTGAGATAAAACAGAGCCAAATGCACAACAAAAGTAAACAGTAGGTATCATCTGAGTTAAAAAATAAATTAGGGATTAAACGCACAAATTACCCACATAACCATTCGTGTAATTTACCCTTGACTTTTTGGTTTGTTCACATCTAGATAACTATTTTTTTTTTTGTACGCATTTAGGTAATGAATTTTTTGGAAATGTTTACATATGATCATTATGACTGGTTATGATCAGATGTAACCTGATATAAACGATGATATAAACGATCATATGTAAATACTTTCAAAAAATTCGTTTTTCTCAAATATGAATAAACCAATATTAAAAACGATTAGTTTAATTAATATCTCATGATTAATTAATGTCACCCTTCGCAATTTATTTTCTTTTAAACAATGAAGGCCGTAACTAAGCCGTAGTTCTGGCCGTCGATCCTCGTGGCAGCCACCCAGCCGGTTTTCTGGTACCAGACGGATCTGAACAACTCAAAGGGAGTGATTGCCGTTGCGGAGGCTATACTTTTCTCCACCACTCAACCCCGGAGTTTAACATCACAACCCGGTGATTTGATCATTCACGAACACAAAGGTATGTATGTGATTCACACTCACAGATCGATAGAATATCGCAATCCACTGTTCTACAAGTCTATTCAGCCATCCAAAAGCGATATCACATCATCACCGGATCACGTAACAATCCCGGAGTTACTGTGAGTCCCCCCTCCTAAGTCCCTTCAATTACTTTTTTTTTTCTTCAAATGGAACCTAAATCCCCTTCGAAAGCCAAGCTTCCAATTCTGGGATTTTTTCATCATTTTAGAGTATTAAAATCCGGCATCGTCATTGTATTATTAGTACTACTGTTGATATTAATTGGGTATTATTACCTTATTCGTAATCCGCGATTTCCCACATATTTCACTGTTGTAATCGACTGTGGAAGCAGTGGGACTAGAGTAAATGTATACGAGTGGATGTGGATGTCTAATCGGAATCCAGAATTACCGATTTTACTTCATTCTTTTCCTGATAATTCAACAAAAAACCATGATCGGAAACACGGTTGTGCATACCATTGTATGCAAACCGAGCCTGGTTTAGATCAATTTGTCGGGAATTCTTCCGGCGTAAGGGCATCTTTGGAGCCATTAATTCGTAGAGCTGAAAAATGGGTACCTTATGAAAGACATAAAGCTACTCCAATCTTCGTATTAGCTACAGCCGGATTAAGAAGATTAGGTGAACATATCGCTAGTAGGGTTTTGGATGATGTTGAAGGTGTAGTCAAGTTACATAAGTTTAATTACAGAAAAGATTGGATTAGGGTATTGAGTGGGAGAGAAGAAGCTTATTATGGTTGGATTGCTTTAAACTATCACATGGGTGTTTTCAAAAACTCATCAAGATTGCCCACATTAGGGCTTCTTGATCTTGGAGGTTCTTCATTGCAGGTAGCAACAGAAATCAAAGAGCCAACTGCTGGTGTTTTTAGATCAAATATTGGTTCTTTTGAAATATTCGCGGATTCATTACCCGATTTTGGGTTAAATGAAGCTTTTGATAGAAGTGTGGCTATGCTGAGTCATTCTCATTCACGAAAGGGCGATTTGGGAATTTATGAGATTGGTCATCCCTGTCTTGGTGATGGATTTATGCAAAACTACACTTGCCATGGATGCTTGGAAAACAAGATTTCTTCATTGCATTTATTTGGAGAACCAAATTGGGAAAAATGCAAAGGGCTAGCAAGAGCTGCAGCCATTAAACTAAATGGTCAGTTACTTCACTGTTTGTATCTTTGGGTATTATCGTCATTTAGCATTTTCATTTTCTTATGAATCTCACGAAAAGTTTGACTTTAGGTGAAAAGATGGTGAATTTGATTGGAGGGAGTCACTCTGTTGCACGTTTCCATGCGTTATCTGGATTCTTTGCTGTTTACAATTTGTTAAACTTAAATGCAGAAGAAGCAAATGTGTCAAAGATTTGGGAGAAAGGTGAGCAACTATGTTCAAGATCATTGACTGGTTTGACTTTGACCAACATGGGGATAAATCAAAATCAAAATCAAAATCAAAATAAAAAGTATGGTGATTTTCTGTGTTTTCGGGTTCCTTATATGGTTTCAGTGATTGAAAATGTGGTTTGTGTTGGTGATAAAGATATTATATTTGGGCCTGGGGATGTTTCTTGGACCTTAGGAGCTGCATTGGTTGAAGGGAAAGATTTATGGGGTGTTGACGCTTCAAAAGCAAAGAGTATAAGTATTGTTTCTTATTTTGGATTTAAGAGGCTGATATTCTCACCTTATTTTGTGTTTTTTATTCTTGTAATCCTTTTATTTGTTGTTTATCGTAGCCAGATTAAGCTCCCCATGTTAGGAAGGAAGCCAAGACAACATTATTCATTTGGCCCAAAACGTCGCCCTGTATAGGCCCAGATGATTCATTTTACCAATTACAATTTAAATACTCATTTTTTTTTTTTTTTTTTTTTTTTTTTTTTTTTTTTTTTTTTGTAGAAATGGTGAACATTTTTTACTTCTTCATCTTTTACTTAATAGGTGCTTACATGGCATTAAAATCGACTACAGTGTGTTAAGGGTTCAATATAACAAGTAAAAACTGAGTTTAAACCCCTAGTAGAAAGCCAAAAATAAAAGATTAAGGGACTTTTAAATCAAAAATAAAAGTTTGTAGGGCCTCATTCAATCGATTAATTTTCAATTTAATTGCTAATCGATCAATGGATTTTGCATTATAATATTGATAAATATGACGAAAACGCAACGAAGTAGTGGACAAAGAAATATCGTAGGATGACACGAAGACATCGAGATCAAAAGCTAAAACGAATCGAAGAAATGCAGGATTGACCATGTCTTAGTGTTTCAATCATATCTCACGCGATTCAATTGTGAAAAGAAGACAAAAAGCCCTACAACTTATATGTTTTGAGTTTTTTTTTTGCAAATTCTATTGATATGAAAGCCGAAATCAGCATGAAATTTGGAGTAATGAAAGTGTTGGAATCCAAAAATTACATGCAAAACCTTACAACCACCTTCCCACATTGTTACCAACTCAAAACCTTACAATACCCATGCATATCCCACATCTAAACCCTCACAATCCTAACCAAAATCCCATGCGAACTACCCTCCCTAATTTCTTGAACCCGACGTAAACAAACCACCTAATTCTCCCATGCACACACATGCATAATGAGAACCTCATTTAAACCAACTTCACTCTCACGTGAACATTGAACTGCCTCATTACTCATAACCCATGCAAACCCTTTTTATTCCACATTAGCTTATTCTAATAACTAACCACGCATACTAATCCTAACATCTTGCACCCCACATAAATCAAACTTCCTTATTTTCCTTCCATCTCAAGGAAACCAAAACCTTTCTATCACCCTTGACGCACATGCAACCCTTATACTCTCATAAGTCATAACACCATTACAAACCTTCTTAATTGCATCCCACATCGTCAATAATCAAAAGCCACCCTTCCAAGGTAATCGATTTTATCCTAAGACGGACCATTGACGTTACACAGACCGGTAGTGAACTCACCCTAGGTACTAAGATAGTTTGTAGCCAAACTATAGACCCCGGCTAATGTGTGTAACCTTTATATTAATTCATGTTACAACTTGGGGAAATAATAAATCAGTTTGATTGCCTTATCGACATAGGGTACTGGTGAGTGGTTACTTTTTTCATTTAACTTACAATTCGATTAAAGTTATTTTTAGTTTTTTCTAAATTTCAAATTTATATATAATCATCATGTTTCGTTCCTTTTAGTTTAAAGTGATTTTTCCGAAACAATTAATTTTATCAGCATCATTAGTTAGTTAGTTGGTTGTATACTAAACAGTAAACACATAATTTAACCACAAACTCCATGGATTTGATCCGACTTATCATAGTTATCTAGGTTGGTTAGTTTATTTTTTATGGAGACAACTTTGATCACTTATCAAATGAGTCGTGTAGAAGTCATGTTGGGTATATTATAGCATTTGAATCACGAAGACAATAAAAGGAATGAGGTTTCTAACATTTATGACAAACATTTTTCTAATTTTAAATTGTATTTGACATACTAGTTGAAACATTAGATTTTGCATGATAAGCTAACCAATAGTTGATAAAGTAGTAACATTTGGAAAAAATTAGTTGATAATGAAAAGACAAAATTGTAAAAATGGTCCTGTGATATGCATTTTTTTGGATTTTAATCCAAACATTGATTTTTTTGGTTTCATGGTCATTTTAAACTAGTTTTGTTGTGTTTTTAGTCTCTCTGAATAGTGAAATGATTTTAATAACCTTGGGGTTTAGAATGAAATAGTTATTTTAATAATTAAAAAAAGACAGACCCACCTCTCTCTCTCTCTCTCTCTCTAACCTGCAACTAAAATCGATGGAGCTATCTATCTTTCTTGTGCAACTAATGTCTGAATTACCACTTTAACACAAATATAGATCTAGATGTAGGCACACAAAAATCCAAATACACACAAACACAACACATAAAATGTAAATACACAATGATAGGGATCGAAAAAGAAATACAGAGAGTTCAATGGTTTAGAATGAAACCTAGATACACACATAAAGATACATTGCTCTCAAATTCGTCACCCACCTTCAATCTCTCATCCTTCTTAGTCCTTGCTGAAAACCATCTTCATCACCAAAAGTGATACTAGATTAACGTTCAAATTCCTACCTTGTAAAAAAATAGCATCTTCACTTCCTGATTCAATCTCTCTCATCATCACCATCAGGACATCACCTTCCATCATCGACTCAATCTGCTAGCATCAACCAACACCTCGTCACCACCCAATACTTGTTGAATCTTGAAGGGATTTGATTGAAGCTTTCCTGTAAATACCAAATTAATCAATAATGAGCAAACACACCATCCTATTCATTAAACCAATCACAAGTCTATTAACTACACTAGAACTTAAACCTCCAAAATTATCAGATGCAAAATTGTAAGAATTCGAAGATTGTTGCTTCAACAAGTCGAAAACTAGAACTTAAACCTCCATAAACCCTCCACCGTTGATACCGCTAGCCATCAGATTCACAAAGCCATAGACAGAACAATCGCAATGAAGCTTTCAGGTGACGCTATGGTATCCGGCGAGCAATGACGGGGAAGCGATTAAGCTTTCAGATGGGGCCACCAGACATCGAAGGCCATTGAGTTATTAAAGGAGGTGGGAACTAGATAATTTAGAAGGATGATTAGATGGGGATAATTTAGGTCTGTTGTTTCCTTTTCCTATGGATAGCTAATTTCAGGCGATAATAGAGATCGACGATGAGGCGAAGGTAAATCAAAGAAGAAGATGAAGGTGTGGGGTGAAGCAAGGAGCAATGAAGGTGAATAGTTCGGCTGGGGAAGAATGGGGGCCGGGATCATGTGTGTGTGTTTGTATGAAGAGAGATAGAGAGAAAGAGAGTGTGTGTTAGTCCCGCTTGACCCTGTTTACCCTTAGGTTTAAAAAAAAAATCTTTGCATTCCATGTTGTGTTTGGAATATTATTACAGATTTATCAAATTAAACATTTTTAATGTAGTAATTTTGCGAAGTTTAAAGACAAAATGGTTTCAGCGGTTTAGGGGGTAATCTGTGTATTTGTTCACCTAACTCTTTACAAAAAACTCGGACAATCCTTTAGAAATTACATTATCTCATTTTGGTCATTGACATACATAAAATATTAAAGAAAAAAATAGGCCCTACCCTAACCCTTCCCCAACATGATACCTCTCTCACATACACTCTCTTATGACACTCTTTTTGATTGTGTTGTTCTGTCTAATTTTAATAAGTAAGCACATGAAACATTTATGCAAGTAAGAGGACAACACTTAAGAATGCTCTCAAATACCTTATATGCAATGTAATGTCTATATGATGAAAATATACATTGTTACCTGGGTTGGGTGATAAAATGATACTAAAATATTCAACATCGACAATCCCTTAATCTCAAAACTGAAAAAGAATCAATCCAAAAAAATGAAATCGCAGCAACAACTAAAAAAACCTTATTTGCTGAGAAGATGACAGAAATGAAAAGCAGAGTAAATGAAATCAAATCAAGTGATGTTTTTTCACATTAACCAATCATCGATTGAGCATGCACATTTCAAAATAAGAGTAAAAAATCACACAAACCTCTTTATTTTAAAAAAAATACAACAATAAGAAATAGAGGCAAAAGAAGATTGAAGTTGCACTTGTTCTCGATGAAGGTTGTCCCGAGATGAGAAGTACCATCTGAGGTCAAATATGAAATCGAAGGAAAAAGGAGACGAGAAGTAACATCTGTTGTTGATGAAGGCTATGCAAAGTTGGTGCAGATGAACGTATTTGTTGAAGATGAAAAGGTTAATGGAAAATTTGTCTTTTCTTTCTCCCCCTCCTAATTATCATAATTTCCAGCAGATGGTTTTGAGGACTCCACAAGGCAACCTTTTCTTTCTAATCATTTCCTTTCCTTCCCTTTCCTCCCATAAAAAACTCAAGAACATGATTTCATTCCTAATCACTTCGTTTCCTCCTTTCCTTCTTTAACACTTTGTTCTCAAGTTATTTTAAAAAGGGAAAGGGGTGGAAAGGAAGTGAAAGAAAATCACGTTCTTTAGTTTTTTTTTATGGGAGGAAGGGGAAGGAGAGGAGGGGATTGGGAAGAAAAAAGTTTTGTTATGGAGTCCTTAAAACCATCCATCGAAAATTGGGATAATTAGCAGGGAAAGAAAGAAAAGACAAATTTGCTCTTAGCCTTTTTATTTTCAAAAAAATACTTTTATCTACACGACCTTCATCAAAACCAACTTTGCACAACCTTCATTGATAAAATGCGCTGCTTCTTAACTTTGTACATTCATCATCGAGAACAAGTGCGACTTCAATCTTCTTTTACCTTCGGTTCGCTTTCTCTTCTTTCTTATTGCTGCATTTCTTGGTCTATAAATGGGTTGCATGATTTTATTACTCTTATTTTTAAACGTGGGTGCTCAATCGATGCCTAGTCAAATATGAATAACATCAGTCTGATTACATTTACTTCTGATCAATACAATTTCTCCGTCATCTTCTCAGCAAATAAGTTTTTTAATTGTCGCTACGATTTCATTTTTAATGTTTGAGTTTTTTATTTCGAGTTTTGACATTAGCGAATTGTCGATGTTAAATATATTAGTATCAATTATTCAATCAACCAAGTAACTAGGCGTCCTTTCTTCATGTAGACGTTACATTGCATATAAGGTGTTTGAGAAAATTTCCAAGTGGTTTGTCTGCAACTCATGTATGTGTTGTCTTCTTGCTTT